GATATTTGATACTTACCATCTTATGACTATATTACAACTATGATCCTTACAAGTGATAACATTTGCTGAGAATTGGTTTCACCTACTTCGAATATCCCCTCATTTTGTAGGCGATGGTACGCTTCTTTCATTTGTACCTTTTTTGGTTGTATTATATGTCTTACGTTTATGGATAACCCTGACCTATTGTTGAGTAAATGTATAAGCTGAAAAATCTTAAAGAACATATAAGAAAATATAGGGGATGAATTCTCATGCAGGAAGTAGACGGTGACCCTGGATGATGCCTGAACAAAGATCGTGACGTCCTTCTGGAGAGACAATCGAATAAAGGCATTGGCAGAGGGAGTCATGTGATCTCTATGGGAGGTAATAAATAGCTGGAAGTGTTACACAGATACATTACTGAGCATACAAACACTTAACATGAAAAATAAATCAGCCCAAAGTTCGATTTTGAATCCACCAGTTTTCATAATACTGATTTTATTTTAGCTACAGCAAGAGTTTGTGGAGTGATATCTTCTAGAGACAAATAAATACATTTTCCAAAATTGTATCATGAATTGTAAGCAATGGCTCCGTGTTTAGCTAGAACTCCGTATACCGGTATCAGTACAGAAGTGCTCAAAAGTTTGCATCCCCTCGGAGAATCGGTGATATATGGACCATGAGTGAGCAGGCAAGACACGCTACTTTCATTTCTTATGGGATTCACATACAACTGCAGGTCATAAAAGAATGGCACAATCATAATGTCATGATTTGGGAACTGGAGCAACAGGAATAGTAAACTCCGGGTCTTGCGGAGCAGCATATAGTGACTAGATTACGAATGTACAGGGATACAGGTCTCTGTAGATGCTGGGACAGTGTGACCGCACAACGAACGCAGGTGTGCCAGAGTCGCAGGATCTAAGGAGCCACCTGGCCTTCACCAGAACCACTGATGGTGTGGATGTTGAGCTGCGGGGTGGCTCCCAGGTGGCGGCTCTCTGACGCACCTGTGCAGGCACAGTGGCAGCGGTTACTCTGGGATCACAGCACACTGGACAAGATACAGGGTACAAGGTACAGAAAAGAGGCACTAGGGGGAAGACACAGGGAACATACGTGACAGAGGGAGCAGATAACCGAAGGGAACACACAACAGGTGTACACACAGGTGTGTCTTGCATGAACCGCAGGTTTGAGATCTCCCCAGAGTGACTCGATGACATTAAGGTCAGGAGACGGTGATGGCCACTCCAGAACCTTCACCTTTTTCTGCTGTAACCACTGGAAGGTCAACTTGGCCTTGTGCTTAGGGTCATTATTGTGCTTGAAAGTCCAAGTGTGTCCCATGTGCAGCTTTCATGCAGAAGAATGCAAATTGTCTGCCAGTACTTTCTGATAACATGCTGCATTCATCCTGCCATCAATGTTCACAAGATTCCCCGTTCCTTTAGAGCCACCGTCATGTTTCACAGTGGGGATGGTAGTCATGTCCCTATAGGCCTTGTTGACCCTTCTCCAAATGCTTATGCTTACTAGGCATTACACACTGCCCGGCTTCCTGATTGGCCGGGCAGTGACGAGGGAGCATGGAGCCGGCTTCGCGGCCAATCAGGATGCCGGGCGCCGTGTAATGACGTGTTGCCTGGCTTCCTGATTGGACATCTTCTCGACCAATCAGGAAGCCGGGCAACGCGTCATTACACGGTGCCTGGCTTCCTGATTGTCCAGAAAGACGGCTTCATGCTCCTTCGTCACCAGGAAGCCGGGTGGCGAGTCATTACACGCCGCCTGGCTTCCTTAATGGGACTTCCGGTATTCGGTATTGGCGAGTACCGGAAAAACAATATCGGTACTCGATACCGAAAAGCTGGTGTCGGTGCATCCCTAGTGGCAATACAGTATATGGCTTCATATGATCACTATGTTTAAATAAAAGACAGTTTTTTGAGATGATCAGTTATATTTTCAATATCAATGCCAAAATGTCACCATTTCTGCCAGGGTATGCAAACGTTTGAGCACAACTGTATACAGGGAGGGTCATCGGCTCATTTAGTAAAGGTGAAGAGATACTCGGGGTAGGCCTGGATGTCATGGAATATCACATACATTACAGGATTTGTCAGATCGTTTGTGGCACTGTCATGCAGGTCAGTGGGTTTTGTGGCAACCTTGGGTGGGGGGGCAATCATCCCCTGATGTCCAACACATGATACCCCTGTGACCACACGGCTCAGGTACATGTACTTGTATCCATTCCCATCTGGCCGGGAGTATGTGTCATCTGCAGAATAATTGGCGTTCACTGCAAAATACGTTCCATTCCCAAAACAGGCCGCTGCACAAAGACAAAAAAAATCATTATTATTATTATTTTCTCTCTGATGTAATCCAGCAACTTTCATGAATTGTGTATAATGGTCACATGACATGTACAGCACAAATACAGTTATACAGGATATCAAGTTACTAGATGGGGTTCTGAGACTGTATATTTAGATAGGGATGGGAGCCTGTGACAGCAATGGGGTATCTGGACATAAGGACCCCTGATAGCAGTAGTTTACCTGGAAAATGCTACAGGAATGGAGTACCTAGATATGGGGGGCCTCTGACAACAGTGATGTAACAATCTGCCTATGGCTGGACCTGGGTCACAGATTGAGGACAGGTTCTTCTCTCTCCATTCTATATAGAAGACGGAGCTGCTGCATCTTGTTCGCCACTGCAGTCTTATGGACATTCCCTTGCACTACAGTGCAGCCATTCTTCACACCTGGCTTCATTTCAAGACTTTAAAGGAGAACTATGAGATGAGTGATTTCCACTCACCTCATAGTTCTAGCCGACCTGTGACAATGAGACTGTCACAGGTCGGCTCAGTAGATCGGGAGGTGAGGGAACACATACCGGTATTCCCTCACCTCTCGATCCTGTCACAGCTCTCTGCCGTGACAGGGGAGGGGCTGGATTCCCCCCTCCCCGCTCCGATCCTCCAGCGCTGACTGGTGGATCGGACGGGGGAGGGGGCGGGTACAGCTGGCTCTGCCTCTAGATAGGCAGAGCCAGCTGTCACTCACGCAGCTGGGCGGATCCTGACGTCCAAGTCGGGATCCGCTCCGGCTGCGGCGTCTCAGTATACCGCGAGCTGTAGCTCCCTATATACTGAGCCTAGGGTGACGGGAGGACGCTAGTTTGTGTCCTCCCGTTACCCTAAGGAGAACTATGGGGGAAAACACTTACCCTATAGTTCTCCTTTAACTTGAAGTCAGAGCTTCCAGCCTGCTGCTCATCTACTTGCCTGAATTGCCACCATATTCTGGAAGTTTCTGTAAATTGTCTGTACTATGTCTGTGCATCTACCTGAGGTCTCTTCTATCATCAGGCGATTGCTCTCCACTTGTTGGAGGACTATGTACCTCTTTTGGGTCTGTCCTGCCTGTTTTTTTTAGCTGTCACTGTCTAGGAATTCCCATGTGTTTGTACTCTGAAATGTTAGCAGGGAAGCATCCGCGTCTGGTGTGGACCTGATACACCAGGGTTGTGCTTTAACAGTGTCCACGAAATGTGACATTAGATATAGGGGCCCCTATCAGCAATGGACTGCCTGGATGTGATAAGTGTTCTGTAGTCCTGTCCTATAATGACAATGCTGGTCCTCCATAGATATAGTGCAGTGAGTGAGTGTTGTCACCCTCAGATAGGAAGTGTGTTACTGGCAGGATCACCAGTTGAAAATAACAAAAAAAACATCCTGAAGAAAGAAAACTAATGCAGCTGCCATCTAAGTACTGGTAATCTGCAATACATTACAATTTCATTCTATGATTATTCAAAATAACATGACGATGTCAAGATGATCAAAACGAAAAGCAAAGCCAGTAACAAAGCATTGTGGGAAGGCTGAGCTCAGATCGGACTGCGAGCTGTGTGAGTGTAATACTGAGGAGATAAAACAAAATCAAATTCCACCACTCAACATTAAAGCCTGATTTCAGGAGGCTGGTGTACAGCCTGTGTGGATTACCAATGGCTTGTAACCCTTAAACCAGGGGTAGCCAAACTCCGGCCCTCCAGCTGTGGGTGGAACTACAAATCCCATGAGGCATTGCAAGATTCTCACATCCACAGACATGACTCCCGGAGAGAGATGCATCATGGGATTTGTAGTTTCACCACAGCTGGAGGGCCGGAGTTTGGCTACCCCTGCCTTAAACTGTCCACCAATAACTGAACTAGTAAGAATTTTACATGTATATATAATGTGTATATCAATCAGTGCATATGAGGAGCTGTCGGCATTACTAAGACAACAGACATAGAGAAGACTCAGAGTCGAGCCCTTTAGGTACATTGTCTGCCCAGATCCGGGGATTTTCCAGCCGTGCAATCATTCATATATTAAACAAAATGGTAATTACCGTGTTTAGAATTTCTTTGAATCTTGAAGGTGTTCCCTCTGGCATCTCTTGCTTTTAGCTCTTCTACAATCACTGTGTATGTTACTCCATTAATATCTATAGATACACATTGTGTGTTCTCGTTCTTGGCCTTCTCCAGGTCCAGATTTGCCATTTTGTCAAATGGAATAAAGTTGCTTCCGCTGAGGTATCCCCATTCTACCAAATTACTGCACAGCTCCGCCTCCCGATCTCTTGTCTTCTTATCTCGCACAGTCTTTATTATTTTGTGGATTTTATTGCTGACGTCCAGAACGTCCTTGGACAGGCCCAGCACTTTGATTGTAACATTTGTCAAGTCGAAAATAAGACTAACTTGGTACTCCTTCTGAAGCTGTACTATGGCCTCCTGTTCCTTGTCATCAAAGTCCCGGATCCAGTCATCTGTGATGAGGTTCTCATTCTGCTCCTTCATCATCAGGTCACTGAACCAGGATTTTGTCTTGTCCACGGTGTCCCGACTTTCCGCACACAGATGGATAATAGCCGGCTCTATGTTTTCACTTAATTCAAAAACCTCGGGATCTTCTTCAGAGCCTTCCGTGTTCCACCCAGAAATGCTGAATTTGGCTATGTAGGATGAAGCTGTGTAGGATGAATTAGTATAAGCAAGAAAATGTGCAGTCTGGACTAAAGACCCTCCAACCGCCCCTCCTCATGCTTCAACCGCCTTTACTATACACGTCTTCCCCTCTGCAGAGAGCCTGTCACTGTGCACCACCAACTTTCTCCGATAAAATACCAACATCAAGCCAGTGGAAATGTCTCCCCATGCCTTCCCGACACTTGTTCATATGACAGCACAGATAACGTGACCAAGCACAGATGCCACATGGTAGACATCCCTGCCCCCTGACTTAACTTTGTGTTTATGGTGTGCATGTATTAGAGTAACCAATGGAACTATTCATTTTGGATCTTTCCATTGCTGCTCCTAATATATACAAACTATGGACATTGTTTTCCACATTTCCACCAACATCTGGTGTTAACTTTGGTCTAGGAAATTCCTCACATCCTGTCCAATGAGACCTATGGGAATGTAACTACTCTGGAGACAACAACTCTAACATTGGATCTGGTGCCACCACTCATACACTTTGGTCATCCTCAGAGGGATCCTGTTCCATCTGTGCTCTGCATAACTGGGAGTTCTGGGCCTGGTAAGTAAAGGGGAGACTGGCACACTCCTGTAAATGGGGCTTATAGTCTCATCCACCGAGACCTCAGTCCTACACCCTGAACTGAACACAAATATACCTCATTATCAGAGTGAAAAGTGGCCAGATTGGGCTGAAGCTGTCAAGGGATTAGAAAAATATTTATAAGGAAAGATTTAGAGATATTTGATGTAGAAAACTCTTCACCAATGGAATGCACCAATTCCATTTTTTCAAGACCAAGTACAAGTAATTCCCCTCAGGTACTCGCCAATACCAGTAACCGATACCTTTTCTTAAAGGGACAGTTGACATTTTAAAAAAACCAATACAGACCAATGATTTTAGTGCAGTTTCTTTATAATTATGAAGAGCTGTAACCCAATCCAGGATTATACTTGTCCTGATACAAAATATAACTCTACCCAAAACCGTGTTTGACCGCGCTAAGAAGCGCTTCTCATTGGTCAGCGCGGTCACCTGACTGCACTGACCAATGAGTGCTCACAATTTCCGAATGAAATTCAAAATCCATAGCCCAGAGCAGCACTGGATAGCAGTATTGGGCAGGGGCGTCCCGAGGCTGGGTGACACCCAGAGCGGTAACCCAGTGTCACTGTGCATGCGCGTGACCTCACCACACGCGTGCGCGATGCCGTCATCGCGCGGCAGTATTCTGATACCTGCCGGCGGCCATCTTGGTGATGGACGCCGGCAGAGAGAGGAGGGGACAGTCAACCGGCGGGATAAGGTATGCCGCCGGGTCCCCTCCTCTCTCCTGATACTGTTGGGCGTTCGGTCCATGACACGCGTATCGGCGGTGGGGAAGGACCAATCACCAAAAGGTAAGTACTGTATAGCAGGGGGGAGAGTTGGCCAGATATAAGCGGGTAATTCAATTTTCCCAAATTATTTTTTAATGTGCATTGTGGGTGTTAGAGAGCGCTGCTGCCCACTACCACCATATGGCACACAGTGGAATGAAGGCAGCACTCAACACACACACACAAAATGCCCTACTCATGCGTTTATTCACACGCAGATGGCAGGGGGTTGGTTTTTATTTAAATTTGTATTTATTTATTTATTTTTTTAAATCTTTTTAGCACTTTTTAATTTTTATTTTATTATTTTGTATTTTAAAAATGTTTTTCCTTTTTATCACTATTTTTTTAATTTT